GGGCATTCCGCCTCGGATGCGGATCCGGCTCCGGGCGTGACGACCACATCCTCTCCGCCTCCCTGTTGCGCCCCTGGTCTGGTCTGGACCTCGGCGCGCTGCTTCCCCTCTCCTTCCTCCCACGATACGCCAGGCCCTGTCTGGACCCTGGTGTGGGAGACCCCGAACCTGGAGAGGGGCTGACGTCATGGTCTGGACTGGAGCCGCTGACCGGAGCTGGACTTAGCACCGGTGGAGCGGACTGCTCTGGCTCCGGAGTGGAGCCGCTGACCGGAGCTGGATCAGGCACCGGTGGAGCGGACTGCTCTGGCTCCAGAGTGGAGCCACTGACCGGAGCAGGATTAGGCACCGGTGGAGCGGACTGCTCTGGTTCCAGAGTGGAACAGCTGACCGGAACTGGATCAGGCACCGGTGGAGTGGACTGCTCTGGCTCCGGAGTGGAGCAGCTGACCGGTGCCGGACCAGGCACCGGTGGCACGGGCCGTGCCGGACTGGACAAACGCACCACTGGTCTGGTGCGAGGAGCAGGCACGGGCCGGAACGGACTAGGAACGCGCACCACTGGCTTGGTGCGAGGGGCAGGAACGGGCCGGGCCGGACTGGTGACGTGCACCACTGGCTTGGTGCGAGGAGCAGGAACAGGCTGGGCCGGACTGGCGACGCGCACCACTGTCTTGGTGCGAGGAGCAGGAACAGGCCGGGCCGGACTGGCGACGCGCACCACTGGCTTGGTGCGAGGAGCAGGAACAGGAACAGGCCGGGCCGGACTGGCGACGCGCACCACTGGCTTGGTGCGAGGAGCAGGAACAGGCCGGGCCGGACTGGCGACGCGCACCACTGGCTTGGTGCGAGGAGCAGGAACAGGCCGGGCCAGACTGGCGACGCGCACCACTGGCTTGGTTCGAGGAGCAGGCACAGGCCGGGCCGGACTGTGGAGGCGGACTGGAGGTCTGGAGCGGAGAGCTGGCACCACCCGTCCTGGCTGAATGCCTACTTCAGCACAGTATGTGTGAGGCATCAGCACAGGTCGCACTGGGCAGTGCACGTGCACTGGCGATACAGTTCGCAGAACTGGCGCAGGATATGCGGGACCGAGGAGGCGTACTGGAGACCAGGAGCGTTGAGCCGGCACACCCCGTCCTGGCTGGATGCCCATCTTCGCACAGCACGTGTGTGGTGCAAGCACAGGACGTACAGGACTGTGCCGGCGCACTGGCGACACAGTACGTAGCTCCGCATAACACGGAGCCTGCCCAGTCATACGCTTCCTCGCGTGAGTACGGGGAGTTGGCTCTGCTCTGACACTAGGCTCCGCCAACCACCCTGTGTGCCCCCCCAAAATGTTTTATTGGGGCTGCTTCTCGGCCTTCCTCCTCGACCGGCCTCCTCCGTGTTGCCGTTGCACCTCTCCTGCCTGGGCATCTACCTTAGCCCATGGTACTCTCCCCACAAATATCTCTTCCCATGATCACAAATTGCCCACCTGTGACATGGCTATTTGCTCCGCCTGGGCACGCTGCTTGGTCCTCGTTTGGTGGGATCTTCTGTCACGTACGTTCAATGACGGGTCAGACCAAGGCGCAGCGTGATATACGTACATGTTTATTAACTTATAAACACAACGACAAAACAACAACCGAAACGAAACGGGAAGTCCAAGGTAGAACACACAACATACCTTACACAGAACAAGATCCCACAACTAGACAGTGCCAATAGGCTGCCTAAGTATGATCTCCAATCAGAGACAACGAGCGACAGCTGCCTCTGATTGGGAACCACACCGGCCAACATAGATCTATACATACTAGAATACAACATAGAATATATACAACAAGGAATATACACACCCTGACTCAACATATACGAGTCCCCTGAGTCAGGGCGTGACAATCCTCTGCTGCACCTCCATTGTTCAGTGTCTTATTCCTCTGTCCTCACTTAAATCAACATGTTAGCAGCATTCTTTATCTCCCTGCCAAATCTGTTAATAAACCCCAACGTTCTCTATTCATTTTTGACCCCACATGTATCAGATCTGATGTGACATTATGATTCAGAACATGCCTCACACCGCCTAGATTCCACAGCATTTCAAAGCTTGTTTCCCCAAATATTTACAGCGTGTTTCTGCCCTGTAGTTGATGTGTCATTTAGAAAATTCCCATCAACTGGATGAGTCACCATTTATAGTGTGGTGGAAATGATCCAACCATTATGTACAGTAGGTTGGTGGAAATCCCCATCGACTGAGGATGATGGGAATTTCCATTATGTAGACTTGTGAAAATGATGTTGAATAATAATAAACTACTTTTATCAATCTGACTCCATTATTATGTGAATGCTATAGGCCCATAATCGTATCCAGTTGGTATAGCCAAGGTTGCGAGCCTTGTGACACCACTCTGAATACTATATGATGCACGTGTCTAGGTTTACCGCTATGCAATTATTAAAAGGCTAAGGAACAAAGAGCTCAGAGATGCACAGTTAGAGACCGAGCATATATGCTATGTATATTGTGAATAACATTTACCAGTAGACATTTCACCAAATAATAATTCAAGGAATATTACTCAGAAATCTGAAGACTAAAGTTCGTATCCATTTAAAAGTAATAACATTTATTACAGTTACAGAAATAAGAATACAATTAACAAATTGTACATACCAGAAATCTTACAGTGAAAAAATACCATGCTATTGTTTGAGGAGAGTGCACAACAACAAAAAACGTATCACGGCAACTGGTTTGATACATTCACCTCTGAAGGTAAATAATGTACATACATTCAGTAATCTTGCTCTGATTTGTTATCCTAAGAGTCCCAGAGATAAAATGTAGCATAGTTTTGTTCGATAAAATCAATTTTTATATTCAAATATAGGAACTGGGTTCTACAGTTTGAACCCCTGCTGTCTCTGGCTCCACATCCACCCCGCCCGGCCATCTAGATGTGTGAAAGTTAGTATATAAGCTAATGAGCCATCATGTAGGACATTTCTGGGAGTGTGTAAACTTATATTTTGTATTACCATATCATTTTTGTATGTTCTCTATACTTACGTACTTGAAAATTTATCAATTTACCAATTTGGCACATTTGGGCATACTTGATACAAAATAGTCCAGTATTGCAATGCTTCACTGGATCAATCTGAAACTTTGCATACACACTGCTGCCATCTAGTGGCCAAAATCTAAATTGCTTCTAAACTGCAATATTATATTGTGGCCTTTCTCTTGCATTTCAAAGATCATGGAACAAAAAAACTAAACAAAAAACATGTTTTTTTGTTTGTATTATCTTTTACCAGATCTAATGTGTTATATTCTCCTACATTAATTTCACATTTCCACAAACTTCAAAGGGTTTCATTTCAAATGGTATCAAGAATACCCACAGGGGCCAGTATGATGTATGCACTCACTAACTGTACGTCGCTCTGGATAAGAACGTCTGCTAAATGACTAAAATGTAAAATGTAAGAATATGCATATCCTTGCTTCAGGTCCTGAGCTACAGGCAGTTAGATTTGGGTACGTCATTTTAGGCAAAAATGGGAAAAAAAGGGTCAGATCCTTAAGAGGCTAAGTAATATTCCACAAGTAATACCGGGGTTGGTAAATAGGCTAAGACCTGGTAACAACAATTGTAACAAGGCACACCCTGTCATGACGGTCATTTTCATGTTATGACTATGTTTCAATTTCTATTAGGACGTATTTGGGTGTTTTTGGAGCCTTTCTTCATGTTTTTATTTCAAAGCACCCGTACTGCACAACGATGATAAGAGGATGAGGAAGTGAATCGCTCGTTGGGGTCAGTTTCTCAAAAACAAGTGAAATTGCAAAAAAAGTGTCTGGACCCTTCTATAACATGTCATTTACATAAAAAATTGATATTTGCTTGTAAAAAAGCAAACGTCTTCTGTAATGTTCCACCTAGCCTATCAAAGGGAAAAGCAGAGCTACTACCATATTGCTTATACCTATCAAATTATTTCAGATCTAAACCTGGGGTTGTTTCCGTGTAGCTCAGTTGGTAGAGCATGGCGTTTGCAACGCCGGGGTTGTGGGTTCGATTCCCACGGGGGGCCAGTATGAAAAATGTATGCACTCACTAACTGTAAGTCGCTCTGGATAAGAGCGTCTGCTAAATGACTAATATATAAATGTAAATGTTTCCGGAACAGGGCCAATGTTTAGTACCCTGGCCTACAAAATAAGTTCTCAGTAGCCAGAGAGGTACGGCAATGTTTTTCATTTTCTATTTGACTCTGATACCAAGGAGTACCAACTGTCTATTGAAGATAATGATGCCATGTTTGAGTCCATGTTTGTTCATGTATGTATAATGTCCTACAGTATCGCTGTCTGATGACTGGAGTAAGGTTTTGAAATATTTCGTTATATTTCTTACGTCAGTCATTTCAAGACAATCATAATTTACCCATGAATGTTTGTTTCTGATCTTGTTGTTACTTTTGTAAGGACATCAGCCAGGAGAGTGTAGTTGTGTGAATGGTATGCACTCTAGTAGATACTTAATCATTTGGTGTTGAAGGCTAACAACAATAGTTGGATAAACTAAATAACACATTCGCATAAATAATCATATTTTTTTGTAGTAGAAGGATAAGCCAGCAAGCAAAACATCTACATTATCTACAGCTTTAAAGTAAGACTGGCTTACTTTACTTTATCATTTATTCTCAGGCCAATATTATCGGTAAGGTTAAAGCAGAAATTGTCTTCATGCCATTTTTCACCCATAACAAAATAACATACAATTGCCATTAGCTTACAGTTTGTACTGTATAAGCCACGCTGAACAAAGAATAAAACAATGTTATTAATGGCACCGAAACATGAAGCAGATACACTCACAAGAGATAAAAAGGCAAACCATTCGTACATTTGGAATGTCCAGGACTAATAAAAATGAAAGAAACACGAAACAAGGTATCCAAATGTTGAGTATTCTCTTCTGTGTCTACGGAGCGGGGCCTTTGGCTGCGTCAAACATCTTCTTCCTCCCTTCCATGCCAGACATGGCCTCCACGTTCTTCCTCCAGTCACTGACCTCCACTGTCTTCTCCTGCAGAGCGCACACACAATGGCAGTCAATATCATGACAGTAGGATGTCAGTTTATCAGCCCTACGACTGGTCAGCTTCAAGTTACAAGAACAAACTGTTAGATCCTGTCATTTATGTACAGACTGAGGGAAATATTGACCTAATCTGAAACAAAACTCCAGACAGTATATTATAAAAAATAATAGCAAAAGTAATCATTGCATCACACTATTTGTAAAAACGGCTAGCTGGAGCTGGTCTGCGCGGTCGGCTGTGAATGCCCTTACCCGTTATTAACTTATGCTGATTGCTTAGGTTCTGCTCACTACAGTGTTGTCCGGTCAGAACACCATGTTGAAGCCCATTACTCTCTTGATAGTCACCACCACACACACACACACACACACACACAAGCACGGACACATCTGCTTCCATTGAAGGTAGTTCTTTATGTGTGGTTAATCCAAATGACTTGGAATCTTATTGTTGTGGTTGTATAAGGCAGTATTAGTTAAGGGTTATAACTATGCAATATAGATTTACATGAATAAATGGCAATATTCTTATAACACGTCTACAAAGGGCTATAAACACAGCATCAATATAAACATAAACCTAAACATTCACCTCTTGGAGAGAGAGAAACTAATTACTTGGCTTGAGAAGGGGACAAGATGTATGGCACTCTCTCTCCAGCCTGGTGTGAGAATCTCCAGGGCTGAGATCTTATCTGATCTGCCCTGGCCCCTCAGGGTCGAAAATTACTCTGTGCATGAGCAAGCTCCAGGAACCATCTGGGATGACTCTAGAGGCCTGCCCATGGCAGCACAATAAAACACCTTAACAAAGAGCACTATGGAAAACGCTGCTGTAGCATGTGCATACAATACTATGTTTATCAATACAACAATTAAACAACTTTTGCAAAAGTACTTGTGCAACCATTGTAATAATAAGACTTATGGCAGTACAGAATAATACTCCATACGATAAACAATACGCAAAGCAGTATTGGCAATTCTAACATTAATGAATAGTGACAGTAGAACATATGGCTGAAACGTATCAAAGTAACTTTAAGTAATTAGTGGTAATTACCTATTATTACACAGCATGTAAAAACCCCAATAAACCCCACTGCAACTTACATTTCGATACACGCACAACATTCAGACATTCGTGTTACTGTCGACAATAAAAAGTCCTCAGAAAACGTGCATCATCTCTCTTCAGACGACGGTAACACTCTGACCTGAGTGGACCAGTGCTGTCACGGTCGTTGAAGAACGGGTCAGACCAAGGTGCAGCGTGAAATGCATACATGTTTATTAAACAATAAACAAAACAATAAACAACGAAACGTGACGTCGGAAGGCTATACACTAACAATCCAAACACCGAACACAAACAAGATCCCACAACACAGGCAGGAAAACTGGCTGCCTAAGTATGATCCCCAATCAGAGACAACGAGCGACAGCTGCCTCTGATTGGGAATCACACCCGGCCAAACATAGAAATAGAACCATAGAAAAAACCCCACATATATTCACACCCTGACCAAACTAACTAGAGTCTATAGGTCAGGGCGTGAGAGTACCCCCCCCCCAAAGGTGCAGACTCCGGCCGCACAAACCTGACTTAACAGGGGATTGTCCGGGTGGGCATCCAGCCTCGGTGGCGGCTCCGGCTCCGGGCGTGACATCTCCTCCCTTACTGACTCCGCGTTGCACCCCGGACCGGTCTGGACCTCAACGCGGAGCTTCCCCTCTCAGTCCTCCCACGATGCACCGATCCCTGTCCGGACCCTGGTGTGGGAGACTCCGAACCTAGAGAGGGGCTGACGTCTGGACCCGGAGTGGAGCCGCTGACCGGAGCTGAACTGGACACCGGTGGAGCGGACTGCTCTAGCTCCGGAGTGGAGCCGCTGACTGGAGCTGAACTGGACACCGGTGGAGCGGACTGCTCTAGCTCCGGAGTGGAGCAGCTGACCGGAGCTGGACTGGACCCCGGTGGAGGGGAATGCTCTGGCTCCGGAGTGGAGCAGCTGACCGGAGCTGGACTAGGCACTGGTGGAGCGGACTGCTCTGGCTCCGGAGTGGAGCTGCTGACCGGAGCTGGACTTGGCACCGGTAGAGCAGACTGCTCAGGCTCCGGAGTGGAGCAGCTGACCGGTGCTGGACTAGGCCCCGGTGGAACGAGCACGGGCCGTGCCGGACTGGAAACACGCACCACTGGTCTGGTGCGAGGAGCAGGCACGGGCCGGACTGGACTGGGAACACGCACCACTGGTCTGGTGCGAGGAGCAGGTACGGGCCGGACCGGACTGGGAACACGCACCACTGGTCTGGTGCGAGGAGCAGGAATGGGCCGGGCCGGACTGGGAACACGCACCACTGGTCTGGTGCGAGGAGCAGGAACGGGCCGGGCCGGACTGGGAACACTCACCACTGGTCTGGTGCGAGGAGCAGGTACGGGCCGGGCCGGACTGGGAACACGCACACTGGCTTGGTGCGAGAAAGAGGAACAGGCCGGGCCGGACTGGCGACACGCACCACTGGCTTGGTGCGGGGAGCAGGCACGGGCCGGACCGGACTGGGAACACGCACCACTGGTCTGGTGCGAGGAGCAGGAACGGGCCGGACAGGACTGGGAACACGCACCACTGGCCTGGTGCGAGGAGCAGGAACGGGCCGGGCCGGACTGGGAACACGCACCACTGGTCTGGTGCGAGGAGCAGGAACGGGCCGGGCCGGACTGGGAACACTCACCACTGGTCTGGTGCGAGGAGCAGGTACGGGCCGGGCCGGACTGGGAACACGCACCACTGGCTTGGTGCGAGGAAGAGGAACAGGCCGGGCCGGACTGGCGACATGCACCACTGGCTTGGTGCGGGGAGCAGGCACGGGCCGTACCGGACTGGGAACACGCACCACTGGCTTGGTGCGAGGAGCAGGAATGGGCCGGGCCGGACTGGGAACACGCACCACTGGCTTGGTGTGGGGAGCAGGTACGGGGCGTACCGGGCTGGCGACACGCACCACTGGTTTGGTGCGAGGAGCAGGGACGGGCCATACTGGACTGGGAACACGCACCACTGGCTTGGTGCGAGGAGCAGGAATGGGCCGGGCCGGACTGGGAACACGCACCACTGGCTTGGTGTGGGGAGCAGATACGGGGCGTACCGGGCTGGCGACACGCACCACTGGTTTGGTGCGAGGAGCAGGGACGGGCCATACTGGACTGGGAACACGCACCACTGGCTTGGTGCGAGTAGCAGGCACGGGCCGTACCGGACTGGGAACACGCACCACAGGTCTGCTGCGAGGAGCAGGAACGGGCCGGGCCGGACTGGGATCATGCACCACTGGCTTGGTGCGGGGAGCAGGTACGGGGCGTACTGGGCTGGCGACACGCACCACTAGTTTGGTGTGAGGAGCAGGCACGGGCCTTACCAGACTGGGAACACGCACCACTAGCTTGGTGCGAGACGCAGGCACGAGGTGTACCGGACTGGGAACTGATGTTAGAGATCTCCGACAGTACCAGTCTTTCACTCTCCGCGCACAGTCCTCCTCCCGTGAGGACTCTCCCTGAGCCCCCACGAGTGCAGTGGTCTTCTCTGTCGCTCCCCGACCACCCTTTTAGCCCCCCCAAAAAAAATTATTGGGACTGTCTCTCGGGCTTCCTCCTCGGCCGGCGCCTTCTGTGTTGCCGTTGCTCCACTCCTGCCTGGGCTTCCTCCTTCGCCCAGGGTCCTCCACCAGCCAATATCTCCTCCCAAGTCCAAAATGACTTCCCCACCTGAGTCCAGGATGTCTGCTCCTGGGCACGCTGCTTTGTCCATTTTTGGTGGGATCTTCTGTCACGGTCGTTGAAGAACGGGTCAGACCGAGGCACAGCGTGAAATGAATACATGTGTATTAAACAATAAACAAAACAATAAACAACAAAACGTGACGTCGGAAGGCTATACACTAACAAGCCAAACACAGAACACAAACAAGATCCCACAACACAGGCAGGAGAACTGGCTGCCTAAGTATGATCCCAAATCAGAGACAACGAGCGACAGCTGCCTCTGATTGGGAATCACACCCGGCCAAACATAGAAATAGAAACATAGAAAAACCCACACATATATTCACACCCTGACCAAACTAACTAGAGTCTATAGGTCAGGGCGTGATAGGTGCAGTGTCCGGATGCGCATTTCCAAGTGCTCTGATTGGTTGGAAATGGCAGGGCTATGATGGGTGAGGGCTAACTAAGGTAGGATGAACAGCCAAACTAAAGGGACTGAAGCGAAACTGACGGGACTGTGAGGGAAACTTAGGTAGAGAGGAGAGCAGCAGGACGGCCTTTTAAAACATGTTTTTACAGCCGCCACAATATTTCTTATGGAAATATTAACATCCATGAAAAGGCCTCTAACCTAAATGGCACAGTCTCTAATGGGGGCCACAGCACTTAAAAGGCCAAAGTCTCTGAAAAGCCACAGGCCTCGAAGGGGGAGCTTGGTCCTAGCATGCCTAATCTTACCCGGCAAGACAGGCAGGGCTTAGGGAGGTACACAGAGACGCAGGGACAGTCCTGGAACGCCCCATGGAATGCCACGCGGGTGGCGGAGGGCCCTCTAACTCAGCTGGTGCAGGGCAGTTGGGCCCCATCCTTGGACGCTGAGTACAATGCCGGAGGCTGGCCACAGCTGAAGTAGGTGGCTCTCCTACTGCGTCAGAGAAATGTGGTATGCCGGCCACAACTGTCATCTCACTGGCTGCGGCTGAGGCTGGTGACTCTTTCACCACTTCTGAAAGCGATGGCTCCCATGGTAGAGCAGGTGGGGACCCATGGGCTAGGATCAACAGGGATCTGGAGGCAGGGGCTGGCTGGGCCCCAGAGACGAGGTCAGGTGGCCTCCCACTTGGGAAGGGCTGAGGGTCGCCCAAGGCAGGCGGCCCCCCCAGAACTAGAGACAGCAGGCCCCCCGGATCAGGGAAGAGTGGGTCCCCTAGGTCAGGGAGCTGAGGGTCTAGCAGGGCAGGGAACTTGTAGCCTAGCGCTAGTATAGGCGACTGGGTGCCGGTTGAGGCTGAGGGCTGCAAACTGACTAGGGGCAGGGACTGCACACCTAGAGGAGCAGATAACTCCGGGTATAGCGGGACGGGAGACCAAGGGCCTAGAACTAGGGCAGGATGTTTGGCATGTAGCACTGAGGGAGCTGACTGTTTGCAAACTGAGGCTGGGGGCTGTGGAGCAACTGAGGTTAGAGGCTGCAGACCTAGTGGGGCAGAGAACATATAGCCTGGTGGAGCAGTGGACTGAGGGCCAACTAGGCCTGACAGGGAAACTGACTCCGGACTTGAAAGGGAAACTCACTCTGGACCTGGCAGGGTAACTGACTCTGAACCTGCCAGGGAAATTGAGTCTGGACCTGACAGGGAAACTGACTGTGGACCTGACAAGGAAACTGACTCTGAACCTGAGAGGGAAAACGACCCTGAACCTGATAGGGAAAGTGACACTGGAACTGCCAGGGGAAAGGACTGAGGGCTAGGAGAGCAGTAGAGTTCTGGGCCTACTGGAGAAATGGGTACCTTTGAGCCTAGCAGGACAGGAACCTGATGACCCACCTGGGCTAGAGACTGAGGGCAGACTAATGCTGGAGACAGCAGACCTATTGTAGCTGGAGACTAAGGACCTAGTGCTAGGGACTGAGGGCAGACAAGGGCTGAGGACTGAGAACCTAGCGCATGTAATTTGTGTCCCAGCAAGGCAGGATGCTCTATGCCTGGTGGACTAGGGATATGTGGACTGACTGTGTCTGGAGACAGCGAGCCTAGTACAGCAAACTTGAGGCCTAGCTGGGCAGGAGGCTCTAAACCTGGCAGTATAGGCAACTACCTACCAACTAAGGCAGGGGGCTGTGATCTGACCAGGGCAAGAGACTGCAGACCTACAGACAGGGCACCTACCTTAGAGCCTGGCAGGGCAGAGGGCTCTAAACCTGGCGGGATAAGCAACTGCAAAGCAATGAAGGCAGGGGGCTGCAATCCAAGCAGGGCAGGAGACTGCAGACCTGCAAACGGGCCAGCTAACTTAAGGCCTAGCATGGCAGGGGGCTCTAAGCCTGGTGGGCTAGGATGCTGCGTACCCAATAAGGCAGGGGTCTGCAGTCTGTGCAGGGCAGGATACTTCATACCTAATGACAAAGCGAACGTGGGCCCTAGCTGGGTAGGATACCTAGGGCCTGGCAGAGCAACAAACTTAGGGGCTACTAGTACAGGGAACTGTGGCCCTAGAACGACAGAGGACTGGGGTCCTAGCAGTATGGTAGTGGTAGGAGTCCGGGAACCTAAGTCAGACCAGTGTGAACCTGCAACTAGGGCTAGAGACTGACGACCGGGTACGGCCGGAAACTCAGAGCCTACTGGGGGAGCAGGATACATCTGATCTACCGATGGGCCGGGATACTCTTGACCTACTGAGGGGGGCAGGATAGACTGGACCTACCGGGAAGGCAGGAAATGTAAATCCCATGAGGGAGGCAGGGAACTCTGACCCTACGTCTAGGTCAGGGGAGATATCAAAGGTGCCTTCTGGTGGGTCAACTGGGGCGATGTCTGGCATGTCCCCCATGGAAAGGACTGGAGGGTCCCCTGAGGCAAGGTCTGGAAGATCTGGAGGTATTGGGGTCCTCGAGGCTGGAGCTAGCAGGGTGCTAGCAGGCGGGACCAGCAGGGACCCCAGGCCTGGGACCGGCAGGTCACACCAGGCAGGAGCCGACAGGGCCGCACCAGCATGAGCGGTCTGAGGCCTTGTGACCACAGGCTGGGACTTGACAGCGGCAGTGTGAACTTCTAAGACAGGCCAGGGCTGATCCCACCAGGCCGTGACTGGAGAGGCCCCAACGTCTGGGCTGTACTTGACCTCTGCAGTAGCTGCAGGCTGTTGCTCCATCCTAGGAGCAGACGAAGAATCCACTGCGGGCTTGGGCTCTGGGCCAGGAGCAGGGAGGGGCTCCTGAGGGAGATCAGGTGAAGTTATTCTGGCTGAAGGTTTCAGGGCAGCAGACAGTCAAACCTCGGGCACCCGAGCATCTGTCTCGACTAGCATGATCTCCTCACAGGGAGGAGAGGGCGAGTCCACAACGGCAACCAGAACAGGCCCCATGGCTGCGGCTGGCTGTGGCTCCACGACTGGAGTGGGAGTCTCCTTAACTATGGCTAGTCAAGGTTCTGGCTGAGGGGGGTGCAGACCTTGGTGTGGTGGACTGTGCACTCTGGAGTTGTCTTCATCTGCTGGGGAGCTAGGCCGCTCTGGGGAGCAGAAGCGGAATGGATGCTGCCTCTGGTCAGGGGGGCCTAGAAGGACGTCAGTCGGAAGAGTGGCTGGTTCACCTCGGGGGGAAGTGGCTCTCCCGACACTCTGGTAGATACGACGTAGGCTCCAGCCGGGGGGGGCCTGGAGTGACGACGATCTGTTGAATAGCTGGGGACGTAGTGGGGGTCTCAATGGTCCCGTGAGGGTGGTGAACGCTCAGACCAGGAGGGAGTAGTGTCTCTCAGAGGAGTAGCAGGGCCAACTTGGGGAGTATCGGCAGTGATGGCACTCCCATGGCGGTGACGATGGCTCTAGCCGGGGTCAGGAGAGTAGCGGCAGTAACGGTGCTCCCGCGGCGGTGACTCAGGCCGGCAGGGCATAAAGTACGCCATCCTGAGCTCTTCTTGCTCATGACGCAGGCCCTCATATTTCCTCTGCAGCTCCCAACTGGAGACGGGGCCTGGAGTAGGGCTGGTAGTCTCTTAGATGAGAGAGTTGTGTAGGGCCTCGCAGCTCATCTTCCTCAGGTGCATGACCGTTTTGTGGGTTGTGGGTGGTGACAGGCGTCTCTTGGCAAGACTCACAGGCTCCTGTTAGGGGCACCTCAACATCTCAACTGTAACAGGTCAGAATCCGGTGATTTAATGGGCCATGTAAAAACTTCTAGCTGGATCCGTCTGAGCGGTTGGCTGTAGATGCCTTCACCCACTAGTGACTTAACGCTCTTAACTCTACTTTGGTCTGACCGCTCTCCAAGAACCAAGAACCAATCAGATGTTCCAAATCCAGAGTTTATTCTATAGTTCACCACCACACATTAGCACACACAAAGATCACTTCTTTAAAATAAACACTGAAAACTTGGTCGCCAGCCAAACTTGCGTGACTTAAGGGAAACTGAAGGGACTGTGAGGGAAAGTTAGGTAGAGAGGAGAGGAGCAGGACAGCCTTTTCTTTACACTATTGTTTACTACCTTTGGTCTGATGAGGACCCACTAAATCTACCAGGGCTAACATACCTTCTCTGTGTCCTCCTTCTTGACTGACTTGAGGTTTGTCCGGAGGTCCATGGAGACCTTGTGTTTGGAGCCCAGAAGGGAGCGCAGGATGGCGTCAGCAGAGACCCTCACCCTCCTCAGGTTGGGCCGCTTGAACTTCCCCCTGAGGTCCAGAACCTTGATGTTCAGGTCCTTGATCTGTGGGACAGAAGAGGTGGACAATCATAGAGATAAAACTAAAGTTTCAATATTTATGGGCATCTGGGACCACAATGGAAATAAGTATCAGACTTTATTGTGCAATCCCGGCGATTATTCTTTTTTTTTTTTTGACAAATAAAATCAATCAATCATCTCAGACTAAACCATCTTTAAGGTTAACCCTTAAAGCATTTCTCCTTTGCCAAGATACTCTATCCACCTGACAGCTATGGCATATCAAGAAGCAGACTAAAAAGTATGATCATTACACAGGTGCACCTTGTGCTGGGGACAATAAAAGGCCACTCTAAAATGTGCAGTTTTGTCACACAACACAATGCCACAGATGTCTCAAGTTTTTAGGGAGTGTGCAATTGGCATGCTGACTGCAGGAATGTCCACCAGAGCTGTTGCCAGAGAATTTAATGTTGATTTCTCTGCCATAAGCTGCCTCCAACGTCGTTTTAGAGAATTTGGCAGCACGTCCAACCGGCCTCACAACCACAGACCACGAGTATGGTGTCGTGTGGGCGAGCAGTTTGCTGATGTCAGCGTTGTGAACAGAGTGCCCCATGGCGGTGGGGTTATGGTATGGGATCCTGAGGCCCATTGTCGTGCCATTCATCCACTGCAATCACCTCATGTTTCAGCATGATAATGCACAGCCCCATGTCGCAAGGATCTGTACACAATTCCTGGAAGCTGAAAATGTCCCAGTTTTTCATGACCTCAATACTCACCAGACATGTCACCCATTGAGCATGTTTGGGATGCTCTGGATCGATGTGTACGACAGCGTCTTCCAGTTCCCGCCAATATCCAGCAACTTAGCACAGCCATTGAAGAGGAGTGGGACAACATTCCACAGGCCACAATCAACAGCCTGATCAACTCTATGTGAAGGAGATGTGTCGCCCTGCATGAGCCAAATGGTGGTCACACCAGATACTGACTGGTTTTCTGATCCACACCCCTACTTATAAAAAATATATATATAGGTATCTGTGACCAACAGATGCATATCTGTACTCCCAGTCATGTGAAATCCATAGATTATGGCCTATTTTATTAATTTCAATTGACTGATTTCCTTATGTGAACTGTAACTCAGTAAAATCTTTGAAATTGTTGCATGTTGCGTTTATATTTTTGTTCAGTATACAAAAGCATATGGACACCCCTTCAAATTAATGGATTCGGCTATTTCAGCCACACCCATTGCTGACAGGTGTATAAAATAGAGCACAGAGCCATGCAATCTCCATAGACAAACACTGGCAGTAGAATGGCCTTACTGAAGAGCTCAGTGACTTTCAACGTGGCCCCGTCATAGGATGCCACCTTTCCAACAAGTCAGTTTGTCAAATTTCTTACCTGCTAGAGCTGCCCCGGTCAACTGTAAGTGCTGTTATTGTGAAGTCGAAACGTCTAGGAGCAACAGTGGCTCAGCCGCAAAGTGTTAGGGACTGCCTCTCACTACCGAGTTCCAAACTGCCTCTGGAAGCAACATCAGCACAATAACTGTTTGTCGGGAGCTTCATGTAATGGGTTTCCATGGCCGAGCAGCGGCTAAGATCAACCTAAGATCACCATGGGCAATGCCAAGCGTCGGCTGGAGTGGTGTCAAGCTAGCCGCCATTGGACTCTGGAGCAGTGGAAATGTGTCTCTCTGGAGTGATGAATCACGCTTCACCATCTAGCAGTCCGACGGACTAATCTGGGTTTGGCGGATGCCAGGAGAACGCTACCTGCCCGAATGCACAGTGCCAACTGTAAAGTTTGGTGGAGGAGGTATAATGTTCTGGGGCTGTTTTTCATGGTTCAGCCTAGGCCCCTTAGTTCCAGTGAAGGGAAATCTTAACGCTACCGCATACAATTACATTTAAGGTGATTCTGTGCGTCCAACTTTGTGCCAACAGTTTGTGGAAGGCCCTTTCCTGTTTCAGCATGACAATGCCCTCGTGCACAAAATGAGGTCCATACAGAAATGGTTTGTCAAGATCGATGTGGAAGAACTTGACTGTCCTGAGCCCTGACCTCAACCCCATCGAACACCTTTGGGATGAGTTGGAACGCCGACTGCGAGCCAGGCCTAAACGCCCAACATCAGTGCCCGACCTCACTAATGCTCTTGTGGCGAAATGGAAGCAAGTCTCAGCAGTAATGTTCCAAATCTAGTAGAAAGTCTTCCCAGAAGTGGAGGCTGTTATAGCAGCAAAGGGCGGACCAATTCCATATTAATGCCCATGATTTTGGAATGAGATGTTCGACGAGCAGTTGTCCACATACTTTTGGTCTTGTACTTAATGTTTCAAGCAGCACCATGTAGGCTACCTTACCTCTCTGGTGTTGTGCATGACTTTGGCTTCAATGTCATATCGCTCCTCATCCACCACATCAACCTTGGCATGTAACTCCTGACATAACTCCTGTTGGGGAAATTAGAATTAGCAATGAGGTACCCAGCACCCAGGACAATAAACAGTCAACAGGTTTACTGAATGCATGTATGGATGGGTGTACCTGGAGCTCAGCAAAGGACAAGCCACCTGTCTGTAAAGGAGGAGCTCTCTCTGCCAGATACCTCTCCTTCTCCTCCTCTTTATCCACAGTCTCCTGCTCGATCTCTTCCTTCGCCTTGGCCACCATTAAGCTCTGAAAACACATTTCAGTTTTGAAAATGTATTGCCTCATATGACTGAGGTAGTTGTCAAACAGTCAAGTGTTATTGCTGTAATCATCGTGTGGCTATAGACTCACCTTAAGCATGATCTTACGGGAGGCAGAGATCTTCAACTTTTGCTTCAAAAATATTAAATCAATTTGATTAATTTAGTTATAGTCAAATTGTGATTGACAGTATAATAATGTCTCAATTAATCAGAGTTTATCAGCATTTATGTAATGCAATTAGAGATCTTACCTCTTGTCTGTAAAGAAAAAACACACATTTTAGTGTAAACGTCATTTAGCATAAGAGATAAAGTATCTGAAATACTTCCCAAAGTGGCAGACAGAATTTATCAGGCAGTCATTGCTAGTGTTTCTAAAGATAACTGCCATGTGCTGCCTGACCCTTCTCTTAAAGGGGTCTGCTGGAAAAGAAAACAGAAACATGATATACTTACACTTGATCCGGCATCTCGGCAATGTAGATTTCCCTAGAAGACAAAAAGAAAACCTCTTGTTTCTGAAGTGCTTGATGACAGACACCATTAGTCTACAGTAATTAGGCCTCCCATTTCAATTCCCTTGATACATCATCATAGCTTTGATATACAAAGCAATTGGATGATTCTACAGTATATTGTCAACTTTATGAAAATTATCTATCATACCCATGTAATATGACTGAAAAACAACAAAAGTTTAACAGATTTCTGGTTATTAATTCCTTTGGTTAAATGAACTACAGTGACCCATTCGTACATAATTTAGTTGTTTACAATCTAGCCACTACAGTACATTATCACAGTTGTTATTCTCCACCTACTGCAGTACATTATCATGGTTGTTATTCTCCACCTACTACAGTACATTATTATGGTTGTTATTCTCCACCTACTACAGTACATTATCAAGGTTGTTATTCTCCACCTACTACAGACATTATCATGGTTGTTATTCTCCACCTACTACAGTACATTATCACAGTTGTTATTCTCCACATACTACAGGACATTATCACGGATGTTATTCTCCACCTACTACAGTACATTAGCATGGTTGTTATTCTCCACCTACTACAGTACATTATCAAGGTTGTTATTCTCCACCTACTACAGACATTATCAAGGTTGTTATTCTCCACCTACTACAGTACATTATTATGGTTGTTATTCTCCACCTACTACAGTACATTATCATGGTTGTTATTCTCCACCTACTACAGTACATTATCAAGGTTGTTATTCTCCACCTACTACAGTACATTATTATGGTTGTTATTCTCCACCTACTACAGTACATTATCAAGGTTGTTATTCTCCACCTACTACAGACATTATCATGGTTGTTATTCTCCACCTACTACAGTACATTATCACAGTTGTTATTCTCCACATACTACAGGACATTATCACGGATGTTATTCTCCACCTACTACAGTACATTATCATGGTTGTTATTCTCCACCTACTACAGTACATTATCACGGATGTTATTCTCCACCTACTACAGTACATTAGCAAGGTTGTTATTCTCCACCTACTACAGTACATTATCACGGTTGTTATTCTCCACCTACTACAGTACATTATCACAGTTGTTATTCTCCACCTACTACAGTACAATATCACAGTTGTTATTCTCCACCTACACAGTACATTATCACAGTTGTTATTCTCCACCTACTACAGTACATTATCATGGTTGTTATCCTCCACCTACTACAGTACAATATCAAGGTTGTTATTCTCCACCTACTACAGTACATTATCATGGTTGTTATTCTCCACCTACTACAGTATATTATCATGGTTGTTATTCTATTCTCCACCTACTATAGTACATTATCATGGTTGTTATTCTCCACCTAATACAGTACATTATTATGGTTCTTATTCTCCACCTACTACAGTACATTATCATGGTTGTTATTCTCCACCTAATACAGTACATTATTATGGTTGTTATTTTCCACCTACCACAGTACATTATTATGGTTGTTATTCTCCATCTACTACAGTACATTATCACGGCTGTTATTCTCCACCTACTACAGTACATTATCATGGTTGTTATTTTCCACCTACTACAGTACATTATCATGGTTGTTATTCTCCACCTACTACAGTACATTATCATGGTTGTTATTCTCCACCTACTACAGTACATTATCATGGTTGTTATTCTCCACCTACTACAGTACATTATCATGGTTGTTATTCAACACCTACTACAGTACATTATCAGCAGGTTAAAAGTGGTCATTCAGGGCTCCAAGTGGTCTACTTAACCAGACCCTACTACTACATCTGACTCTCTGGCCTGGGGTCTGGAGTCTGTGGTCTGTAGCCTGTGTTATGGAGCCTGGGGTCTGGAGCCTGGAGACCGTGGCCCATCCCCCTTCTGCTGACAATGGCTCTCCCCCAGATAATAAAGTGATGGCAGACAGGGGGAGAGGCGTGCATCGGCCCTGGCATGGTAACTATTCCAGACAGATAACGATCCCAGCTTTCTCCTGCTCATTTCCACTGGATAACGCTCCACAAATAGACCTGTCTGGCTGCCTTCTCCTTAAAGGGACCAGGAGGTTGGAATTTAGAGGTTCTTTATTAGAATTTCCAATTCCATAAGGAATGTCGCAGTGTCCAGTTTAGATAGGAACCCAGTGTGAATGATTAGTAATATGAAACCGATGTGGAATAGTTAGAGGTTATGGGAATAACTATAAAACATTAAAAACCTGTACAACTTCTTTAATTCTGTTGGGATTTATTGTCTGAGTCAAATCTTTATTGCCACAGTCAAATCCCACAAAGAAAATACAATTCATTAGAACAAAAGAGAAATTGGAAAACTCAAATCAGTTGGAAACCTGAAATTCCAAAATTAATTTCCCAAACAAATTAATAGTAAAAAGAAAAGACGGAAAACCTATAATTTAATTCCAGATTTTTCTTAGAGGCCTATCCATTAAATGGGATTTTTTAGATATGCTTCTGATTTACAGTTTAATTTTGCCCTTACGTAAATAGTATCTAAGATGTTTTCAAAATATCTCAAAACTAAAATAAATAGTAAATTACTCAATACTGGCCGATATTCTACATACTGAAATAGACAGATAATTATGATAATACAATTAATAATGTTCTGCAATTATACCTGAACCTCAAATTCAAAGAATACAGAAAAGTTCTAAGTATTGTCTCCTCAATATCAGAATGAGAGAGGAGTTGTGTCTTACCTTCCTGTGCTGAGGTGGGAGACGTTCCGTAGAGGCTCAGAGTGCTGCGGAGATGAATGCATCAGAGTATTTAACTCAGCCTCCCATTGTCCTTCCTGCTCGTCACTAGGACCCCTAAATAGAACACACACACACACGCCATAGGGGTGGTCTCCCTAATCCACTGCTTATAATGCTGAACTTTCCAGTCATACTTTTGGTTAGGGATGTTGGGGGCTGGACGTTGTTATCTTAACTCAGTCACGGTGACTGACAACAGCTGTAACACTCTGGCTCCGGGACTTTTGGATTTGAGCCAGGGTGTATTTGTTTTGTTGGGTATTTGTTGTGGGGTTGGTTGTAAGGGTGTATTCGGTTGGTTGTGTTTTGGGTGTATTTCTATGTTGGTAGTTCTGTTGTGTGTATTTCTAGGTTTGGTCATTGACTCCCAATCGGAGGTAACGAGTGTCAGCTGTCGGCTCGTTATCTCTGATTGGGAGCCATATTTATTCTGTATGTTTTCTTGTGGGCATTGTGGGTTATTGTTCCTGTTTAGTCTTTGTCACTATTGGACTTCACATTCGTCGCTTTGATTTGTTGTTTTTGGTTGCTTTAAGTAATAAAGTCAACATGTTCTTTTCACTCGCTGCGCCTTGGTCTCCTTCACTCCTCGACGACCGTGACAGAATAACCCACCACAAAAGGACCAAGCAGCGCGTCCAGGAGCAAAGGGTCTGGACATGGGAGGAGGCGCCGGGTCAGGAGAGAACGTTGGTGGATGTCCTCCTCGGCTGGGGACATATTACCCAGGAGGAGGCCGTCCGGTACCGGAGGGCGATGAAGGGGGAGAACCTGGCAGGAGAGGAGCAACGGCATCGGCAGGGCCATCGTCGGAAGGACGAGAGGCAACCCCAAAAAGTTTTTGGGGGGGGGCACATGGCTTGGGCGACTGAGCAGCAGGAGGCTGCCACAAGGCAGATTCAGAAGGCTACCAGGTTAAGGGGGTTGACGGAGGCAGAGAAGGGACGGATTCAGGAGGCTACCAGGTTAAGGGGGCGACTGGGAAAGGCAGGGAAGGAAGGTGTAGAGGCACGGCGAGAGGTACTGGGGTGTGTAACCAGTCCGGTCCGGCCCGTTCCTAATCCCGAGGTACAGCCAGTAGTGTGTGTCCCCAGTACGGTACGGCCTGTTCCGGCCCCTCGCACTAAGTGTGCGGTGCGCGTCGCCAGCCCAGCCCGGCCTGTTCCTGAGCCTCATACGAAGCCTACGGTGCGCGTCGCCAGCCCAGCCCGGCCTGTTCCGGCCACTCGCACCAGGGATACGGTGCGCGTCGCCAGCCCAGCCCGGCCTGTTCCTACTCCACGCACCAGGGATACGGTGCGCTTCGCCAGCCCGGCCCGGCCTGTTCCGGCCACTCGCACCAGGGATACGGTGCGCGTCGCCAGCCCAGCCCGGCCTGTTCCTAGTCCACGCACCAGGGATACGGTGCGCTTCGCCAGCCCGGCCCGGCCTGTTCCGGCCTCTCGCACTAGGGATACGGTGCGCGTCGCCAGCCCAGCCCGGCCTGTTCCTGCTCTCCGCACTAGGCCTTATGTGCGTCCCCAGGGTCCAGCATGCCCTGTTGCTGCTCCCCGCACTAGGCCTTATGTGCGTCCCCAGGGCCAAGCATGCCCTGTTGCTGCTTCCCGCACTAGCCCTGAGATGCGTGTCCTCAGCCCGGTACCTCCAGTTCCGGCACCACGCATCAGGCCTACGGTGCGTCCCCAGGGCCAAGCATGCCCTGTTGCTTCTCCCCGCACTAGCCCTGAGATGCGTGTCCTCAGCCCGGTACCCTCCTGTTCCGGCACCACGCACCAGGCCTACGATGCGCCTCAGACGGCCAGAGTCTGCCGTCTGCCCAACGGGGCCTGAACTGTCCGTCTGCCCAACGCCGTCTGAAATGTCCGTCTGCCCAACGGCGCCTGAACTGCCCGTCTGCCCAACGCCGTCTGAACTGTCCGTCTGCCAAGCGCCGCAGGAACTGCCCGTCTGTACTGAGCCTGCAAAGCCGCCCGTCTGCCATGAGCCTTCAGAGCCGTCCGCCAGACCGGAGCCGCTAGAGCTCTCCGCCAGACAGGAGCAGCCAGAGCCTTCCGCCAGACAGGATCAGCCAGAGCCTTCCGCCAGACAGGAGCAGCCAGAGCCTTCCGCCAGACAGGATCAGCCAGAGCCTTCCGCCAGACAGGATCAGCCAGAGCCTTCCGCCAGACAGGATCAGCCAGAGCCTTCCGCCAGACAGGATCAGCCAGAGCCTTCCGCCAGACAGGATCAGCCAGAGCCTTCCGCCAGACAGGATCAGCCAGAGCCGTCCAGCCAGGATCCGCCAGAGCCGTCCAGCCAGGATCCGCCAGAGCCGTCCAGCCGGGATCCGCCAGAGCCTTCCAGCCGGGATCAGCCAGAGCCTTCCGCCAGCCAGGATCCGCCAGAGCCGTCCAGCCAGGATCCGCCAGAGCCGTCCAGCCAGGATCCGCCAGAACCAGCTAGTCAGGTACTGTCCCTTAGTCCGGTGCTGCCCCTTAGTCCGGTGCTGCCCCTTAGTCCGGTGCCGCCCCTTAATCCAGTGGGGTTTAATTGGGGGGTGGTCATGTGGAGGAGGCTAGGGAAGCGGGTGGTGACTAAGGTGGGGTGGGGACCACGACCAGGGCCAGAACCGCCACCGTGGACAGACGCCCACCCAGACCCTCCCCGAGACTGTATGCTGGTGCGCCCGGAGTGCGCACCTTTAGGGGGGGGTACTGTAACACTCTGGCTCCGGGACTTTTGGATTTGAGCCAGGGTGTATTTGTTTTGTTGGGTATTTGTTGTGGGGTTGGTTGTAAGGGTGTATTCGGTTGGTTGTGTTTTGGGTGTATTTCTATGTTGGTAGTTCTGTTGTGTGTATTTCTAGGTTTGGTCATTGACTCCCAATCGGAGGTAACGAGTGTCAGCTGTCGGCTCGTTATCTCTGATTGGGAGCCATATTTATTCTGTATGTTTTCTTGTGGGCATTGTGGGTTATTGTTCCTGTTTAGTCTTTGTCACTATTGGACTTCACATTCGTCGCTTTGATTTGTTGTTTTTGGTTGCTTTAAGTAATAAAGTCAACATGTTCTTTTCACTCGCTGCGCCTTGGTCTCCTTCACTCCTCGACGACCGTGACAACAGCCAGCAATGAAAAGTACGTGGAGGAAGTTGTCCAAATGAACGTAGCTCTGTATTTTACTCTATTCAGACTACATGATGGAGTTTTGCTAAGTGATCCAATAGGTTGGTTCTGCTGGCAGTTTGGTTGCTGTGTTCTCTGTTGGCTGGCAATGAGAGAGATTCTGCAGGCAGTTTGGTTGCTGTGTTCTCTGTTGGCTGGTAATGAGAGAGATTCTGCAGGCAGTTTGGTTTGTGTTCTCTGTTGGTTGGTAATGAGAGAGATTCTGCAGGCAGTTTGGTTGCTATGTTCTCTGTTGGCTGGTAATGAGAGAGGTTTTGCAGGGAGTTTGGTTGCTGTCAGTACTTAATTTGTAAATTGAGAGGTGCCGGAACAAAAAGTGATTATCATCACTTTTGCGTACTGGCATAGAACAGTAGAGTTCAGGCGCTTGCAGAAGTTGCACACACAGGGAAAATAATGTGTAGCCTAGGGTCCGGGAAAATGTTGGACTTTTATAAATGCATTTCATGCAATTCTACATCATTTTAGATGACTGCAGACTTTATCAGAATCTTTTTTAATACCTCACAAAGGATCGAAATGACAGGCTACTTTGACACCGACAAACTGAGAATCTGAGTTGAATAAAAACGACATTGTCTTGAATCAGGCCTAGGTGTGTGGAGACACACATATTGTACAATATTGGGAGGAAATTATAGTCCTAAAAAAAGCTTTCCACTTTCACTGACTCGCCAAATGATGTGCAGCTCACTCATTGGCCGATGCGCCAGTAGCAAAAGCTTATCTCTCTCTTGTTTTAATAATCATTTTTCAAATGACCCTTTTATTTTCCTCATTCCTTTGATTTATAGAGGAACATCAATATAGACAACGACATATTCAGCAAATTTATGAGCCACACATAGAATATTCCGTAAAAATGTCAGTGTGTGATTGTGAAGGATAAGGAGGTCTTCAAATATAACAGCATGTGTAATGGGGATATCTTTGGAAATGTGATTTATAAGTTATAAAGGGGTTTTGGAGGTTCCTGTTCAGTTTACCTCAGTTTGTTTCAGATATCTATTATGCATGTAGAATTACTCCATCTGCAATCAACTGGTCATCTCTCCCACTGTCCAAGTCTACCCTGTCCAGCTGGCAGATTATTTGCTCAGTCATTCATGTATCCATGATCATTTAATGTTTTATTTTATTTGTAAAGTTGATAACTTGGCAGCCTAAAGACAGATTAGTCTTCTCTTTTCAGCAGGATCCATTTGCTTTCTAACCTGTGTTTTCCCGCTATTATATTTGAAAAACTGCAATGGCCTGTTTTGGCTTCATGCTGTTCACTGAAAGATTTCTGCGCGTTCCCGACTGTAGGAATGCCTTGTGATTGGGATACACACAATCCACAGCTAGGCTATAAGCTATTGATCCTCTGTGGCTAAATGATCAGCCTACTCCTGGTGCAGTATTCAGAACTATTTTATTTATTTCTGAACAGAAAGCAGTAATTCTATAACTTTGGCAAATGTATTTCAATGTATCAGGGGTGCTGCAGCACCTCCAGCACTTTTTCTGCAGCTATGATTCTATAAGGAAATAAATTAAGAAGTTCAACGCTGGAGAGATGAGCGTTGCAGGCTCATGTCTATCAGAGCAGAGAGAGAGAGCGAGATCATAGAATGGCACGCTTTTCTCTCTCACCACATGAAGAAAATCAAGTGAGGAGACCATTAATGACAAACTTCAACGTCTCAAGTCAAAAGATGTTCATCCAAGTTTATATAGCCTCTGTTTAAATCATAACAATAAAGATTGGTTGGTTAGGTGCATGTTCTTTCCCCCCCCCCCCCCCTTTTTCGTAATATCCAAAACCATTCTTAGTTAGAC